CGAACATGTTGATCAAGTAGATAATCTTCGCAATGTCTTAAAATAGTCTTTTGTTGTTTCAAATTTACTGCCAAGGCATTTAAATTGTACCCGCACCCCCGTCTTGCACAACGATAATACACACGCCATTCTCCTCCGACCTGTTCACCCTCCAAATTAACTTCCTTTTCACACAAACAACGATTCTCTGCACACGTGATTACAACCCGCCCCGTACCAGGGTCGGGTGCCAACCATTTCGTACACAATGTGCATGTACAAGATACAGATGTCGTTGTAGCCATAAACAAAGATTTATTTGCACCACGTTTGTTAAAGATGTGTGCTTGTCAACGACCAAATCACAATATGCTGTTCTCAAAATAGCGCCCTCTAGTTTTAAACACCCCAAACAACAATCATCGTCGCCAGATATCATGCGTTGCAGTTTAGTACAAAAACATGTTACAAACGGAGATTGCGGTATATTAAATTTACGTGCTAACTGTTCCATGACAATTGTAAACCTTACAAAGGTGCACCCTCTAACCCCAAGCTGGATTTTTCTCTTTTGAGTCATTTTTGCCCACATCACAACAAACATATTTGACCATAGTTAATAGAGGACAGGGTTTGGAAGGCCAGCAAACTTCAAAGGCTTTCGAGCTAATTAATTTCAGATGTTGGAAAGGTACGTCACGTGACATTTCGGGTGCATCAAATTCAGAAATTACTATAGCGTAGTATTACAGAAATATGATATTGTGCTTATAAATTTTAAAATGAGGCATTGTTGTTCTTCTTATGGCTTCGACAAGTTCGGCATACGATTCAGAAAGCAAAATTCACCCAATTCTGGGTGCTGGAGACGCAGATACAACGGCGGAGGCGATTTTCATCAAACTATTTAGCTGCTGCAAATCAACGCGGATGAATTAACTGAAGAAATATCGCGTTCAGTTGAAGAAGTAAGTCCTTTATACTGTGTCCAATTAAACAATATGCAGTGAGATGCCTTAGACTTAATATTTGACTTATATTTGTCGTTTAGATTGAAGGATTAAAGCAATTCCCGTGCGAATATCTATGCAGTATTAAGCACTCGACAAATTCTACAGCTAGTACTGCCAAAGGGAAAATCAAAACCCATGTTACATGACTTATCACGCATATGAGAAGGCATTGTCGATCATTCGAGAGGTAGGGAATTTCATCCATGCAGAGAAGATAAAGTCGTGCTTTTGATGCTGGTGAATATGCCCGAACGGTTGACTTTCCTATTACCAGCAGATATTCTAAAGTAATTATTATAAACACTGAAGAAACTGCATGCTTTAATACCAGTAAATATCTTAATACTGTGTATACTGTATATAGACAATATACTGTAACCTAGATATGAATGTCTTAAATAGTAGGCCCTAAGGCTTATGTCCTATTGTCAATTACAAGTCCAGATATTGACCAATATACAGTGATTCAATGTCTACTAGCATGTGATTTGTTACTTTTCATCATTCTGTCACATCAAAATAGAATGTTATTCCAAGATTCCATGATATTTCATGCCCATCCCACAGTTTCCAAGACCAAGTCTTATAATATATTAGACAATAGAGATATCAAAGGAAATATCATACAGAGGAAATATCAAATTTTGATATTTCCTCTGTATAGTACAATATTGACCTAACGGTATTAAACTTAGTTCTTATTCCTCTCCAGTGCCAGAAGATTTTACCTATGGCTATGTGCAAAGGATTATATACCCAGAAATATTTTTTAATGTTTGTATTCTGCTAGTAATTATCAGTGAAATCAGAAGAGTTTGGACCACCCAGCTTATGTTGCTGGGGAGGGGCCGTCAGCCCTGTGGGTACCAAATTCATGACTTAATGATATTGCTAGAATTGCTGAATCGTGCTTTAGAAAGCACACAAGAATTAAAGCAAACCTACTTCTTTACACGTTGATAAAGTTATTAAGAATGTCCAAGCTCCTCCATTAGCAAAAAGTTTGTGGAATGACATTATTGAGCAATCTAATAGCATTGCAGTATCAAAAGAATTCCAGTACGTCCTTGTGTTTTGAGAATATTGGTAAACTGTATGGCTGTTAAGTTTCAAATTTTGCCATTTGTCGTGCTCCAGCCCAAAGCATGCCAAGCAGGCTGGTCATTTCATTGTTTAACTGCCCCACACTCAAAGGACACTTTTGCATCTTCTGAGAACTTGGGGGCCCTGGCCCCCTGGTTCCTATGCCCCTGGTTGACAGCCAATTTCAGATGTGAATAGTGTACTTATTCACTACCGGTACATCAGTGTGCTCTGATTCTAGCCGTTGTTGTCTCTCAAACCATGATAACTCAAAGTTGAGCCTACCAATGTCTTGTTTATTTGAAGTGAAACAAAATTTTGTGTAATGGTGATTTACTGTATATATTAGTATAAACTTTTACAAATTATTCAACTAAGGTAATATATTGTTCTAGTCTTATTGTTTACCTATTCATTTATAATCTGTTTTAATAATTATTTTATAGCATATGTACAAATTATTGCATATTACTCTTTTGAAGCAGTGCTGTCATTAAGTTTACAAGTAGGTGGCCGAAAAATTATTGAACATTGAAGGCACAAGACTCCTAGAGGGGTCTGGGTTGGAAATGCCATTCCCTGCATTTGGGAAGGTATTTTACACATTCCCTGCATTTTGGAAGGTATTTTACAGAGTTCTTAAGATTACAAAACATCCTATCAAAGCCTGACCTGTTTGAAATAATTTAATCTTTTGTTTTAATTTTGATGTTCTGACTAGAGGAAGTAAAAGGTTTGTTTATTGCTTCACAGTTTTGTTTATATGAACTTTGTTCAGACAGAAGTAGGCAAGCTACAGGCCCTTAATGACAGCTCTGGGTACAAAAACCCCACAAAAGTTCTCACTAGATTACTTCTGTTTTATGTTATGGCAAGGCCTTTTCTAATCCACGATACCATTTACTCCTCTGACCAGTGTGACGACCAGCAATGTTACCTGGCTCCAATTGTCGATGTAGAGAGGTATGCTTTTCTGGGGTAAATTAAAGGTAGGAATAGCACCAGCTACAAGCCTTTTGCAGGTGGGAACTAAAGCAGAACATAAAATATCTGATTATATATACGTAAGTTGACTTAATTTATACAAGTATTGTTAAGATAGTAATTATAATAAAATTCACAGCAAACAAGATTTATAATAACTGTAAATGGGGCTTTCATATACTATGACATGGCCAAACAAAAATCCTGTTACTTTATTATGCCAGTTTCTTGCTATTAAAATAGCCTTTGAATACTGTATAATACTTTGTTTACTGTATACGAAAATGTTTCTACTGTCCTCAGTGACAGTGTCCTGAATAATATGTATACCTTCATTTTATGAACACAAGGGTTAACTGTTATATAAATATGACCTAATGACCGAAACGCACTTTTATGCAAATCATTAATATTTAATATATTTTTCCTGCTCTATGACCATATGGTTAATACAAATTTGATAATTTGATACATGAAATATATACAGTACTTCTGCTAAGTTGTAACTTTCAAGCGTTCATACCGAAATATCAATACCTCTACCAGAGAAAGAAAATAACTTACATGTTTCGGCTGGGTCTTTTCAAAGTGTCTTTCACAAACGTGAAGTGTTTGTTGAGCGATTTGATTTCTTAAACTTGCATCTATCTCTCGATCCAGCGTCCTTTGTGACAAGCCTCGCCAACGCTTCGCGAATTTTCGTCGATAAATCGTCGTCTTTTGTTGGATTTCAAAAAATACTGAGACCAAAGTGTTTTCTACTAGTCCCGCAACCATGTATGGAGCAATTTGCAACTGATATTTGGATATCCTTTCTGTAAAAGACGTTTTTCAAGCACTACAGCCTCCTCTGTAATACAATCTCCTATTACAAATAGATTTTGATGCACCCGTATTGTCACGTGACAGAGAACAATAACATAATTTGGCCACGCCCCCAGCTTCCAAACCCTCTCCTCTATTAACTATGATTTGACCCAAGTTGGATTTTTCTCTTTTGAGTCATTTTTGCCCATATATGGTCAAAATTCCAAATTCTTGCTTAATTTCATAAAGATTGAACTATAATTTTTTTCTTTTGACCATATATGGTCAAAATTCTAATACAAACCCTTGCTTAATTTTATAAAGGTTGGGGCAAAAATTGATTGTTAAAAATGTCAAGCCAGTGTATGCATATCGATTGTTCCTGTGCAAGCGATTGTGGCGCCTGCAAACTTGCTACCGAAGCCCACCATAAAGCACATAAGCAGTATCACGCGGGTGATAATACGGGTGGATGTCGAAAAATTGCAATAAAAACAACGGAAAGTAAAAAACCGGAAACGTCAGGTCTGTGGGACAGTTTGCAAACACGCGAAATAAGCGAATGAAGAGAGTATTTTGCGGGACAAGCCAAAAAACCAAGAACAGAATATGTCTACTGCTTTAAAAAAATGTGTACACAACCCAAGAATTGTTGCGGAATGTGTTACCTACTCACTAAAGAATGACGGAGAAAGGCAAGACACAGAAGCTTGTGAAGAAAAAAAAACAATTTTTATTTTCAATAATCGACTTTGTATGTTGTCCGTAGAAATGGCGCGGAATAATAAACTTGGAGACATAATTAACTTTACAGTAAAACTCATACAACTTAATATGTACTTATGCTTTTTTATTGTACTGGCAAGATTTATTATTTTTTTATTATCATTATTTTATTGATAAATTTTTTTACAAATAAAACAAAACTATTGTGTGTTACAGTTTCTACCCAGCAGTGTGTCTAACCTAAACTCGTCCTCCGCATGTTCAAAAACTTGATCAGGGTCATTTCCACAAATGTCACAATAATATAAGCCCTCCGGATTTGGATAAAACCATTTCTTCCTTTCCCCACATGCCTGATCAAACTTCTCAACCTTCCTTTCTTCTTCTTCTTCTTCCTTCTTTCTTTCCAACCTCCTCAGCCTTCTCGAACCTGTTTCCACTTCATCATCTTCGATATCATCATCATCATCGTTGACCACAGACCCTGCGTTGTCTTCACTCTCCCCATCAGTCGCGTATTCAGACACCCTGTCTGTGTCTTTATTCATCTTACTCTTCCAATATTCCCAATACTCAAGCCGTGATATATTCTCGACATAATCCTCTTCCGGAATTTCCTGCCTTTCCACGTAGTCAGAGTATTCCTTGGGTGTCAAATGGCATATATCCCCGTGGTGATCATCGAATATTGCAACCCCTCTACATTGGTCGCAAGCATATTCTCTTTCGGGATAAATACCCACACCGTTGTTTTCCAATTCCTCGCGCGTCAATTCCTCATGCGTCAATTCCTCGTTTTGTCTTTTTAATTTATTTGTCACACCAGCTATTTTCAAATAATTCAAGTGATTCAACGTACCAAAATATTATACTTGTGCTGACTATAACAAAACAAATGTATACTAGTAGGGCGATCATTTTATACGCATATTTATACTTTTGTATTTTATACTTTTGTATTTTATACTTTTTGACCATATATGTCGAAAATTATAAATCTGTTTTTAACCCAACGCTATTTAAACCCAAGCTAATAAAATCAATTATAGTAAAAAATGGCCTCCGCTTTTACAGCCAACACACATTTGGATTTTAAGAACGAGCGTTATGTAATTTACAATTCATCGCAACGCAGCTACAACGTATATCTTATGCCCGAAGATGGAAAGCCACCGCTTTGGCCCGGCGACAATGTTTTTTTGCGTTGCAGTCCCGAACATTGTACGACGTGTCAATATCAAGCGCGTTTACTTCCAGGACAAAGCATTCTTTTGCTTGCAAAACTACAGTATGATTGTACAGAGGGGCATCGATGTTATTCAATTATATCACCCACATGGACACAATATCAGCTAAAGTATTTGCACACTCTAGGTTCTTACATCCAGCTGTCATAAAGGTTAGTCACGCTTAACTGTCCACAATGTCAAGACGTATGCAAACACGTAGTCAAACACGCGCTATGGCCGTGTCTACATTCGGCGATGGCTTAGAAAAACGTCGATATCCTGGTGATATAACATCGTATCATGATACAATGGGGAACTCTGTCTTGAAATTGGGTGGTCGAAAACTAAACTTCTTGTATAACCAGGGCAAAACGCCTGTACATCTATACTTACTACCGCCAAACCACGACCCCCTCCAAAAACCTGTTAATGGGTTTGGGATTTTAACGAATGTGAAACAACCCACACTTGTCATGAATCTAAAACCAAACGAGTATGCGCTAATCGACAAGGTATTGTTTAATATTTAATCAAAATTTATAAAAATAAAATTTGGGCTAAAAAATTTTCTTTTACAGGATGCTGCTCGAAAACTAAAATTTGTGGACAAAGAAGACTGGTTCGCAATCACACACAAGATCTCGGTAAAAGAATGGGATGATGTACAAAGTACAGAGAACATTAAAAAATATATATTTACTGATGATAGCGCTAATAACAATATTATTGTAGTATAAACTTTGTAATTAAACAAATACACAAAATAAAATCTTACTCTAAAAGTACTATATAATCCAACAAATTATCTACACACGCATATTTACCACCCATCATACGCATACAAGCTCGTAGCTGTTCATCGTCTCCAGGGTTTATACACATTCTTGCACTGTTGTCTTCCCACTGATAATCAAATGTTACAAGTGGTGCTTCATCTTGGCTTTGAAGGGTTGCGAAACATACTTTATTGCGTGCCACAATTAATAATCGCGACCAATCATACCATGTTAATAGCGGTTTATAACATAACAGTTCGCCAAACTGATCCACACACTCGCGATGCGCATTTGTCAACGTGGTCCAGTCATTACGCATTAAAACGGGTGCCATTGTAACCCATTCACCCTCGTAAACACCAACCGGGTGTATCTGATTTACACGCAGCCATAAGTAACGTGCAACCATATTTAAAAATAACTCGTTTTGCGAATCCACATTACCCGACCAATTTTTTGGTCATTCCAATTTCAGAGAACTCGTCATCACACTTTCTTTTCCCACTTCTTTGCACACACCACAATTGATGTAGAATAAGCTGGGGGTCACACCCAGTAACTCGAAAACAAGCGATAAACAATCCCACGTGCTTTGTTATGTTATATGTCTCGTGTATAGTAAAATATTCCCAAAATCTTTGCACATAACCCCTTTCGCGACAATATCCCCCTACTGAAAATATTGGTACATGCCCTTCACAATATCGCGTCAACAAACAATTTGCACCGACGACACATTCCAAAGCTTGCGTAAATTCCTTATTTGTTAATTGTTTTGCATATAATATAACATCGTCGCCAGCATAAAAACTTATCTCTATCATTTTTTACCATATTTGGGTAACACGCGAGAATATAAGACTACGTTCGGGATCTAAAAAACAACATTAAGAAAAGTGACAACATTAAGAAAAGTGACAAAATAAGAAAAAAGGTATGGATCTTACTGAACAAATTAAAGTTTTTCAAAGCGCGTGTTGCAACGGGTGGCATTGTAAGCATGAGGAATGTTTTGTCGGGGATGTCTTACCCCTCGAACCTGATATTAGACAGTTCTGTGATTATTGCCGTATGGGGATTTACCATCTCTCTCAAAAGAAAGTGCAAGAAAACCGTGACGAAAAATCAAAGCACGCACACGAAGGACCCCAATTTTTATACACAGGGTATCAATACTGCGATGGGGTATACAAGTATGAATATGTGAATTCTGGCGAATACTTCGGGTCGTGTACAGAACCCCTTAACGAAATGATTATAAACTGCGTTGGGTTAGAATGGTTGTCACGGCGCGAGGAAATACAAAAAAACAGCCTCCCGAAAGCCAGCACAAAAGAAGAAAAGGACAAAAAACAAACTACTATTGACAAATTTTTTGGACCCAAATAACTAACCTTTTACACTTTGTAACTCTACCGGTAGTAATATATGAAGGATGTTTTGGTCTTTTATCTCTTGTTGTTTTTATGCGGTGATAATAATTCACGATATTCACACCCGTTTGACGCTCAAACACTGTACAAGCAGCTCTCACCTTATCCTGCGCTACGCACAAAATATTATGTGTACTAGTGGGAACATATACGTGTTCGGGTAACACAACCCCATATGCGGGTATCTGTAGCATTTCCAAAACAACTTTGGAAATCTGCAAACACAATAATTCATAAACAGAATGATCATGGCGCGTATCCCAGGGTATAATACCCTTGTCCACAAGCTTATATACTAAAACACTTAAATTCCATTTATTTTCGGGTAGCACCTCATCTTTACCATGCTGTAAAAATTGCTCCTCCAACCACTGCTTCGTACACAACTCCCAGGAGTTACACATTTTTAGAAACAAGCACACACAAGTGTAGTGTAAAATGAATTTAAATTTCGTTTTATAAATTGTTTTATATAGCTAATGACATACTACAGTTGCGCTACAATTCTCTAGAGCGTCCGATAAATTTACAAAATCTACATTATCCTCGGGCTGGAGCTGTATAAATTCAGCGGTCGAAATCTTTACACCAAAATTCGGTACCGGCACTTTTTGGCTGGGACTAAAAAATATAAAACAAATCGTTTAACTAAAAGTACAAAAAAACAAATAGATAAATAAATAACCTTACCCGTGAAAGCGGGCTTGTTCACCGGGTAATAACAACCCCCATCTCGTCAAAGGTGCGTCAGGAACAATAAGGTTCAAAGCATGATGATATGTCATGCTGGTGTCGGACACAAAATTATTCACCAATTCTGAACAATTTCCCGCAAAAAAATACAAAAAATTTTGTCTGTATTATTATTAAAATACACATATTTTACATTCGGCGGGATCTCCATTTTGAAAAACAAAACAACGTAACGTGCCTTTTTAACATGCACACTTGAACAATTTTTGACCAAATATGGTAAAAAATGGGCAAAGGCTAAAACAGCTTTTTTGACCAAATATGGTCAAAACGCACAAAAAATTAAAAAATACCATTTTTTTTCTTAGCCTAAAGAATGTGCGACAAACCCGTCAACTGGTGCGGAAACGCAAAGGATCAGCAGGAATTATTCATTCATATTCTATCTCACCTAACAACGGCGCAACAATTGAAAGAAAACAACAACTGTCTACACCCCGAGCAATTCTACGCCAATGCAGATAAACTAATCAACGAAAACTGGAAAGCGGCGGTATTATATTTTGACCAATTCCTCGCATCTTGGAAGGTTGACTATGTACATGGTGCTGGCGTGCGGAACCACAAAATCATTGAAAACTTTACAGTATAAAAATCAAAAGCCTGTGTCCAAACGGTGAAATAAAGCCATACAGCGAAATATACGCATACATCGAACACTTTAACATTTTGTAAATAAGATATAAACTCACATTTACATTAAACCAGTGTATAACAAAGCTCCCACCATATAAACTGAAAACAGTATAATACTACATTTGTTATATTGTAATTTACATGTAACTAAACACCGTCTCTTTAAAGCGAAACATTTTCTACAGTTTTATTTTCTTGACTGTTAAAATTGTCAAAATTGAATTGCGCAGCATCAAACTGTTTTTGCGCCTCTTCCAGGGCTTCCATAGCTAGTTGAACTTGCTGCTTGGCCGCTTTTCTATATCCCGACCGCATTTCTTCTTTCTCCTCTAGACCCTGCACCCACGCATCTTCAAACCATTTATTGTCTTCGGTAAAACAAAATTCTTCGTCCTCATCATCTTCATTATATAATAAGGCACAACTTTCGCCCTCGAACAAAGCCTTCAAAACCTTCGTGCATTGGGTTGGTTTACCTTTGTCACAATTATTTGCTGTACATTTCTCATGGCATGATTGCGCCATTGTTTAACATTGTCTGAAAACACGCACTCAACAAAATTCCTTTTAAACACAAATTTCCTACTACTTCAAAGATAAACTGAATAATGTGGAAACACAATTTGCTTGTACTTTTCATATATTATACTTTTTTCACTCACACCACACTTGTATGTAATATACAAATAGTTTATAAAATTGTCCAAAATAGCATCTTCCCCGCTTGTTCCCAAACGTTCAGCCGTAAACAAAAAATGTGAAATATCAAGTTTGTTTTTTTCTAGTGGTTCAATCATTTCATCCCAATATTTCCAAGATGATAATTCACTACCCAATCATTCTTGAAATAATAAAAAAGCATCGGAACCGCGTAAAATACTCAAATCTTTTAACCGTTTTGTCTCAAAAGCTTGTGCTTGCACCCAATTAATTTCATCCATTCTCGCTGAAAATTTATTTACACTGACCTACTATTAAATGGACACTATTGTAATATAAGATGGTGTTTACCCGCGGGAAATACGTCACTCTGTCCGGCGTGACGTCGCTTCCGTTCTCACCCATAAAGTCGCGCGCCAATTTCAAACGCGCTCATTGCGGTCGACCAGGGCTTCGGCGTCTCATCTCGGCCGCGCATGCGCAACGCAACACACACGAGCGCATGGCGCTCGACCACGCCCCGGACCACGCAAAAAAAAAGTCCCCCCCGTCCGGGGACACTTTTTTCAAACACTTTTGCAGCCTCACCCGACTCTTTTACAATACTATCTTATAGTAAAATGAAAAAATTCCCACACACCCCCAAAAAAATGTGATACTTTTCTGGGTATACTACTCAATTTGCACTTGCAAGGACCATTCTTAAGATAATGAAGAATGCGTTTTGTGACTCCAAGGCAAACCATGTGCATGTAATCTAAGATAAATTGTTTAACACAGGATACACCACATGTTAAAAGAGGAGACAACTCTTTCTGATGTACCTCGTAAGACAAAGAAGAAAAGAGTTCATCTGTCCTTAGTACAGCATTGTTGTCTAAATTATAAACAACCCTTCCATCCCATGAACCCTCAAAGGTGCATCGTTTGCAAGCGAAATATGCAGTGTGTCCAACAACACATTTCAGGAAACACCGACCAGGGGCAACACAACAAAAACACCTTACAGTGAAGTTAAAATGTCTGCCCTCGTGGGTAATTCCAGAATCAAGCAATTTATTAACTTCCTTAATATAATCTTCCAAATAGTCACCAACAGAATTTGGCTTAGTTGACTCATAAAATAAACTGATAACAAAGACCTCAAGGTTGCCATAACGACCCAAGATTGGCCAAAATTGCCTGTTCGATGATTTAAAGAGGGGAAGGCCATCCACATTAAGTACCAGCTCAATAGCAGTTAATTTTGCTGCAGCAAAAGGGTACTTTGATAAAATCTGATGAATGCTTTCTTCAACTCCAAAATAAATATACTGACCACCACACTTTTGCTGAGTGCTAACATTTCTAGGGGTCTGTAAAAGAGTACGGCTATCAATCGGGAGACTATGCCCATGCGAATTCAATATATGAAGAAGCTGATTTAAAGTATTTCTTGTGCACTGGTTTCGGGTAGCCCAACAAGAAAGATCATGCCTTAAGGTTGTATCTGACGATGGCGGAGGTCGAGGCTCGTCATTGTCACTGGAATCACACATTGAATTTTGTTCAGAGTCAACAGCTTCTGATTGAATGCTAGTAATTGAAGTCTGAGATTGAAATGAATTATTTAGTTGAAAGAAACTGTCATCAGACAAACAATGAACATCTTCATCATTGTTATTATCTAATGCCAATGCATGTACTTGGGAAGTATATTTCCTGTAATTTTTCCAATATGCCATTTGATATTTCTATAAAATTAAAATGGAAGAAATCTAAGTTTTGAAATTGACTTTGATTGTCAAATTGTCACCTACATTTTTGTGTCATGCTTTCAACATATGAAAACTTTCTTGGATTTAAAAAATATACTTTAAGCACATTGTTCCAAAACCTCAGTCTCTGATCCTAATACCTTTATTCCACCTTCCTCCATATTCCGCCGCCTATTTTCTAAAATGAGCCTGCTACTTTCAAAAATAATGAAACCCCTGCTCTTCTAAGTAAAGGAAAATCGGACAACAAATGTCACAGACGTTACGTCATCCATGACAAAACCTCTAATCACATTTAGAAATATTTTGGGTTAAATTTTACATAACATTTGTTTAGTTGCCAGCAAGGTATTTATCTCGACATACATTTGTTTTGAGTGGAAAATATGTTAGACGCTTGGTTTGCATAGGTTTAAAACAAGAATCAATGACAATGTATCCTGAAAGAAAAAACCTGCTTATACTTTAGGCCCTGGAGTATAATTTTGTTCAGAGCGAAAGACAAACATTTTTCTGTACACTTCAACATGTCTACAATGCACTGCAGGTACTCATTCAATCCAAAACATGATTTAATAAACCTTGATTTTAACACTTCTCATGAATGTGGAATTGCCGATATATTGACTTCACACCTTATTTATACAATTCAAATTGTCATGACAAAGTCCTCCCTCTCCCTATCATATTAGACATTGCAAAGTTTGCAATTTCAAATACATTGTTCATATTATTACATGTAAGAGATCAACAGAAAGGGGGCACAATTTCCAAATGGGAGCCACATTTCCATAAATTTGGCCGGGGGCAGATTTCCTGTTGCACCGGCAACCAGACCAACCAGCTTACATGTGTTTATAAGGAAAAATTTGCAGGTAGGCCTACTTTAGGGTTTACCATACCCGTATACCGTAAGTATTTGATGGTGTGTGTTCTGATGCGTTTGTATGTATTCATTGATTTACACTGGCACGGTAAAGTGTAAAATTACTAAATTTGCATATCAATAAGCAAGATCTCCACAACTGACTCAGCCTGTTTGTCCATTACCCACCAGCGCTCTCCCCTTGACGGGTAAAATCGTCTGGCGTTGGACAGAGTAAAATACTAAAGTAGGGTGCATCAGGGTGCAATGCGACTCAATGGGTTAAACTATTCAAGGTGGCAGTGGCCTGTGCACAAATGTTTGCTACACAGCAAGATCTCATCCTTCTCGCTAACCAGGCTAGCCCTGTTTCCACATATAAACAGACCCCACAAAAGTTTATATAATAAATCTTAAAATGGCCTGTATATGCATTGTGTAATCTTCCAGTTATTACCTCCCCCTTGCATAAATATGTCAACAGACAATTAAACAGGCACATTTTATAAATTAAATCTGAGGTTCTATTAATTTTACACACATGGGCCGGTTGTTCAAAAGCTGGTTAACTTAACCCAGGGTTAATGGCGCAAATCATAATTTAAAAATCAAATTTTCCAACACTCAAGTCTGAACAGCTTGTTTATAAAGTTCAATATGTTTTACGGCTATGTATCAATCTATAAAACCAAAACGTGGGTTAAAATTTAACCCATGCGTTAAATAATAGCACTAAATAATATCGAGCTTTGAACAACCGCCCCCTGTAGGATTGTATAAATATACTTTATATTTAGAGCTATTTCGACGACCAAATCTACACGACAGAAAATACAGCTTCTCTGAGCTGGATTTGTAGATTTTATTCCTTGTTTATATGCTTTTATAAATGGAATAAATATAAAAGGGAAATACAAAGAAATAGCAACATGCGATCGTTGGAATTTCAACCACAAGCAAATTTATACAATATAAACAAAAGTCACACATACCTTTTCACTCAATGAATATCTTTAATATCTCCTTCAAGTCCATATAAAATCCCTTGGGAATGCTTTGTAATGAAATGCTTGGAAAGTGAAATAAAAACTACAACAAAGTGCTATATTTCTTGAAACAAATGCCTTGCTTTTATATAGTAATTATCGAAGTAATTATCAGGTCGGGATCAATTGAAATACAGCCACAGATTGGTCGAAATAATCTAGGATCACGTTACTGATTGGTCCGAAATTTTAGGCCGGACATCTGCGACGATAGCACTTTCAGCTTTCTTATTGGTAGTTAATCAGCAAAGTGATCCTCTTAAACGAAGTATCAGTAAAAAGTACTGTCACCAACCCTAATTTGCTCTTCTTGCGAAGTAAGCATAAGATTCAATAAACTAATAAATTGCTCCTTTAATATATTTTGTGACCATGCACCTTCTGAGGGAACTACAAAGCAAGCTGCCTATAGTGTGATCATGGTGTGATCCACAAAATCGACCACGGGGAAGGTGCTCTAAACAAAAGACAAATTACCATTGAAACATCGTTGATTTTTGCGACGTCGATAAAATATTGACAAATCAATGTAGATACAATTGCTGTTTTTTTTCGCCGTCGATAAAACACTGACAAACTGACGTCAATAGAATGTTGTTTTCGCGATGTCGATAAAACATTGAAAAAACAGATGTCGAAGCGATGTCGTTTTTTGCGACGTCGATAAAACATTGGCATACTGACGTCGAAACAACATTGTTTTTGCGACGTCGATAACACATTGACAAACAGACGTCACGTCGACGTCAGTCGTAATCGTCTTGCAGATTTTAGGATAGACTTTTTAACTTTCCAATCATAAAGCTTGCATATCACTGTTCTAGGTCTAGAGGGGGTGGAACCATCAAGATTCCTTTTACGACCTGTTTTATGCGCTTGTTCAAACTGTTGTTCTATTTCGAGATTGAGTCTGTCCCTCAAGATTTTTCTAGCTTTCTCTTCGGTTTGTTCCCATGTTTCGTTGAAATCTTCTGGGATTCCATTTATTCTATATTGTTACATCTACTTTGGTTTTCAAGATATGTCAGTTTGGACTTTATCTTTGTCATTTCGCTATCAAGGTTAGAAATAACTCTTGAGTTACCACAAAGGCTTTCCTGTTGGGTTGCCATATTGACTTTTAATTCCGATATGTCTTGCTGACTGTATTCTAAACTGCTTTCAAGATTCGTTATATCTTTGCTGAGCTTATCAACCTTGAGATTTCGATTCTCAATGGCAGAATTAAAGTAGATTTTCAAAGACTCAGCCTGTTTGGAAATGGCCGAGTCAAAACGAGACTTCAAGTGATCGATTTGAGTTTTAATTAGCTTCTCAATGACGCTCGAGTTGATAGAGGTATCACATCATCCTCAGTGTCGGATGGATTAGTCTTCTTTTTATTTTTAGGTGGCATTATAGGTGGCACATTACACGTCCGCCATCTTTGTGGTAATGTATTTATAGGCATGACCCGTGCTAGCTTCGTTCATGTGAACAAAAGATATCAGTGTCGCAGGGCAGTTGTTTACCCTGGGATCATGTGAACAGGGCCTTACAGTAATAAAACGGTGTAATTCCTTCGTACATATAATACTGTAGGGCCACATATTACACTGTCAAAAAATTGCTATGGTGTACACTTTTTTGGGGTGCTTGCCTCTCGAAGTTCGACATTGGAACAGAAAAACATTAATGGTATATTTGTGCGTGACGAATTTAATCGCTATATTCGATACACAACATGACAGCAAGAGGAATATACTGTTATAGCCTCAATGGCGAATCTATCAATGAGCTAAATTTAATACGCGGATGTGACAAAAAGACAGTTACTGATGCTTTTCGTTTGGATTTGTTACCAGTTTAAATTTGTTTTCACATCGATCCTTTTTTGTTGACAAAAATAAACCATATCTTTTGCCTGTGTTGCTCACACTGCGAATTTAGGATGTCTTTTGTCACGTTCATGTGCTAGATTTACCACATCTTGAGCATACATATGCGAGAAAATAGTGTAGCTAACAATGCAAAAAAGCTGTAGCTAACAATGTTTAATATAAAACTTGTTACCTACCCATAATAAGCACCACAGCCGTTTATATAATCTGGCTCACCTTTCTTCTGGAGTTTTGACAGGATTCAAACTAAATTCCTTCAGGGTAGTAATCAGTCCGAGTGGTACTGGAAAGCTACAAATATTTCCAACTATAAATATTTGCTATAGGATATTTATAAATTCATGTTAATAACAAAACACTCACCCATTTCTTGTGAATTCTGATTCGAAAGCTGCTTCTTTCCTTGCTGTATTTACAATACTTTCTGCCATTTTTTAATTGGCATAATGAGGCGGGTTGCACATGCACCTGTTCATAGCAACTGTGTCACTTCCGGTAAAATCACAAATTTTTACCATGTTTGAGGACAAATAAAGAATGTGTATTAATTAGTATCAATAACCAAACCTCATTTTTTAATATTAGATGTGCTAAATTAAAAAAAAAGCCGAGAATGGGATGAATTCAGTAACAAAAATATTGCCTGGGCAGATACCTTAAAATGAAAATAATCAAAATCAAATAACGGGCACTAAGAAAATACTAAGCCAATAATACTAAGCCGGTAATAAGTAACAAATTGGCTCACCTGAGTCAAGCTGCCTTGTTCACTGTCCAAATCACTTCAAGTTGCATCATTGATAGATGTTGGCATAGTATTGTCATCATTTTTTGCAAAGTGAGCTCATTTTCTGGTACGGTTTTGCACCTCGCTGGACGTTACATTTGATGACTTCGATTGATAAAGCCTTTTCACTGATGTTTCAGTTTTTCTTTTTTCTCCAATTGTTTGAATAGAGGATTCCAACTCTGAGCGAACATCAATAATTTTCTTTACTAATGTTTCGTTCTTGTCAGCACAGTTTCTGCACAACATATACAAGAGTAATTTGATAACCGCAAAATTTTTTTCTGAGGAACATTTCAAAATTCAAACACACTTTACTCTTCCGTACTCCAAACGTAAGTAGCTTTCTTCTGTAGTGTGTATTTTCAATAACATTTGCACACAGCAAACAATATTTTTCTTTTGACACTGGAGAAATGCACACTGTATATATTTTTTTGTCAGAATTGTGCTTCCGAAAATTTGTGATTGCAGGTGCAAGACAAAGTGACAAATATAAAAAATATGCCACACATGTAGTTAGATAATCTCAGCTCAGATTACAGTAATTACACTCAGGCTATAATTAATATGCCTTTTACAACTCAGCCCCCCTGTTTCCCCTGTTAATTAATAGCCAATTATATCTTTACATATTTGGCACGAAATTGTGACAACCAGTTCTATGCACTGTCAATGCTCTAAAGCAAACCATACACTTGGGAGGAAGCTGGACAAAACCCACGACTTTCGGCAGAGCATTGACTTTTACTCTTTCCACATGAGGACTGGGTTTGAGTCGCATGCGGCAAGGCAAGTGCACTAACCCTTCACCATGGCTGCTACAACTAGATAGTGCTGTTGTGAAGACCAAGTCACTACTTTAAATATACATGCTGATAGGGTAATATAATTATATGACATGTTGATATTAGCTATTTCGTTTGTGTGATGTTACTCTGAGTGTATATCCACACCGGGTAGGCTTGAAAAATATGCCTGGCCACGGTGGGATTCGAGTAACATCACACAAACATCTTATTCACCTGAGTACATTACACCAACACAGCAGATTTCATGATTATTAGATTATACTGATGTCAAAGGAACTAGACTCAGTTCCCAAATATCGCATCTCGAACCGACCTGACCGCGTAGCTCAGTTGGAAGAGCATTGGGCTAGTATTCCAAAGGTCATAGGTTCGAATCCCACCGTGGCCAGGCATATTTTTCAAGCCTGCCCGGTGTGGATATACACTCAGAGTAACATCACACAAACATCTTATTCACCTGAGTACATTACACCAACACAGCAGATTTCATTAGCCATTTTGTTTGAACTTTAAAGACCATGTAAAGTCTGTTCTGTGCATATGTTCTGCACAGGCCTACATTCCAATGGTCGGGACCTGACTTTCAGTCTAAGCAAGGTATGAAAAGTAAAAATCAATTAAAATAGAATTTTAAGAGTACCTTTTAAGGAGATAAACTAAATTTTTATTACCAATATTATTGAACAAACTTGTAATGCTGCAATTATCAACATTAGATAACATTTAGAATTTGTGGGGCATTGTCATATAATTGGGCAGCAAAAATCTTTTAATTCAAACTGTTGAAACCAAAGATATCTAAATAACAGGTTTGGATAATTTAATTTTGTTACAGTAATATTAAAAGATTTAGTCAATCCAGAACGATTTAGTATTTATCCAATATTGATTTTCATAGCGAGCAGAAATAATTTGTGTAAATGGAACAGTGAACATTTCCTGCTTCAGCCTTCGGCAAATAACAATGATATCAGTCTTGATAATTCTTGATATCACACTCGGCCTCATCCAATAAGTAATAGTTCAAATACTCGACCTCGGACTTTACCGGGATTTCGAAGTCCGAGACTGTTTTGAAAAGACGAGCTGCAGGCGAACCTTTTTAATGCTCAAGGACTTCGAAATCCCGGTAAAGTCAGAGGTTGAGTATTTGAACTGACTTCTCAAACTCATCAATTATGCAATTTTCACGCATGAATATTTTTACTTAAAAATTATATGCTGCAAATGCTACGCCATGCGACAAGCATGTATAGATTGTTGTAAGCGAGGGTGCGAGACATGGCAGAGAACGATTTCAAAGTGAAGACAAACTTGTTTAATGAATGAAAGCGTTGAATGAAAGCAAAGACAAACTTGTTTAACGAACAAACTTGTTTAACGAATGGCTGACAATATTGATCTGTGCAAGGTTAGTAAGACAGAAAACTATATCTGAGTTTGATGAGTTTATGAAAGATTATCTAGCAAGTCAAGAGTTAAATAGTAAATATTGAACTGCATGTACCAGTCGAGAAAGCCAAAAAGGTTGCGAGACTGTGAGTCCTAAAAAGAAAATAAAAGATTTGGGCCCCCTCCCATTTAAAAAAATTTTCCAGAAACCAAAGAATTTTTCCGGAAAATACTAGGGACAGGGGAGGTCCCAAAAATTTTTTCAAACACTAGGTTTACATAATGGGGGCTTAAATTTAGTTTTGAAGACCTTTTTAGACCTTTTTAGATTTTCCAGAAAATTCCTTAATATTTAACACATTCTGCTTTCCAGGGCCCCTTCTCCGCAAGCTGGGCCCCCTTTTTTTTACTTTGGGGGGGGGGTGATACACCCCCACACACCCCAGGTGGCACGACCCTGAATAGCCCTACATGAACTTACGGTTGCAGCTGAACAGCTGGCTGAGCTGCAACTCAGTTGGTTAGAGTGCTGCACCAGAATCGCAAGGCTGTAGGTTCAATTCCAACCAGAGGACCTTGTGCTGCATTTTTCGCAGTTGTTCCTGGTCAGGTCTTAAAACGTATATATATATTTAGTCACTTGGTCTTGGATTTAATCCAAATCCTAACATTGTCATACCTATAGTTTATATTGAAATCAAATCATACTTACGCATTCTCTGAACCAGTTTTAGTGTATTTCCGACGATCCTTTCTTCTATAATTTGATGCTGCCAATCTTAAGGTCCATTTCTCCAAGCAGTTCAAGCGTTTCGACATCTTTTAACACTTCGTCAGAATGTAATGACTGAACACACCTCTTTCTATTTCTTGATAGCACTGCATTTCATAAACATTCTGCAGCATATCTAACCCACAATTATTGCATTTGCACCTATGTTTTGGCATTGAATAATAAATTATGTTGTTAATCTTTGTATAAACTTAATGTAGAACTCATTGGCAAATAGTCAAAACATGTGGTCATATATTATAACTCACCTGTAATGGGAATTTTCTTGTCCAATCTCTCTTGCAGGGCATTCACGTTAACTTTTTTCTTTTCCTTTCTTTCTACATAATTTTGAACCCATTCTTCATCTGCAATAGGCTCATTACCGTACGGTTCAGGTGCCGATAAACTAGCAATATTTTTCTTGCTAGCACTAGAAACATGGCCATGAGACGCTCCATCCGATAGCAATTCAAACTCCTCTACTTCAAGTTCATAATCTGATACTTCTTCAACTTCAGAAGCTGATGATGAAGATTCTTCAATGTAAGATTCAGATGTCAACATTTTCACAAAAATAATTATTTAAAAATTTCGACGACAATAGACATTTATTGTAATTCAACACAAGTCAATTTACTTCTGTCCCCCGGTATGACATCACAACTCTTATTCGTACTCAGACTCTTTTCTTCCGGCCCTGTATTGAAAAACCCTGTTTTTTGCCATGTTTGATCCAAAATATCTCTGGTAATATTTATCCTATCAGGGAGTGACATATATCACTGGAATTGTCTCATTTTTACCGATATTTGGTGAAAAAATGGTAATAATGTCATATGCACTTTAACAATACTGCCATTATTTGCACCACTTTCGGCTGCTTTTTTCACAGGGGTAAATCCACTAGGAGACGATGTGGTTAACAACCTCTTTCCTACCACAATCGACACACATCCACTGTCTGAATTTACTTCTACATCCTTTGTTTTTTGTTGTTTCTTGGTAATAGGTAAAAACTACCGCAATTAGCGATCTTTCTCGCACATTTCTTGAAGACTGAGGCGCTACTTTTGTCTGTTATTAGTAGATTCTTGTCCAACAAGCTCAGACTTTTTAGAATGTCAGCAAGAATAATACTTTGCTTGACACACAATTCCGATTTGAATTTTTGGTTTCCTTATACAATGGAACTTTAGAACAACCAGGCCAGCCATACTTTAAAAGAAGATCATCTTCACAGATAAAACAGGTTTCCTCCGTCTCTATTTACTATAATTTATATTATATAATTTACCTCAGACAAACGTAAACATATACACGTTTTTCATGTTCACATGCTGATGTCAGATTTATTTCTATCCATCCCTTTTTTCCCACTACTTTATTTTCCCCGCGCTCATAAACACTTCCGGTTAATTACTAAGTGGGCGGTAGACAACCACGTCAATAATTGTATCAGGCTTTATTTTTCTTGCTGCTTGCCGTACACGTCCTTTGTAGTGGAAGACGAGAAAAATAAAGCCTTATACTCAGGTTAATGATCAGGTGAAGAAAATAATTGTGATTAAGGTAGCTGCCTCTGTGGGTGTTGAAATCAAGGAGGATATCTCTATAACCTATCGACATAAGACAAGCAAATCCTATCTGGGAGATAAACTCCAACCACCCCCGATTATTGTCAAATTCGCCAGATGTGTGACCAAGGAAAATTTCTACAAAGTGCGGAAAAAGCTATACAGCATGTATCAAAAAATCTGAACAGATTTGAAATTGCTCTCAATTTCGGAAAACACCTATTTGTGTCCGTTTTTTTATATATATAGCTTCTTTGGGTATTTATAATGTAGCATAATGAAAAAAAATTCTCGAACTCAAATTTTGTGAATCAGGGGGTGTGTCTTTTCCAACAAACTAAAAATGGCTTGCGCGCAAAATTTAAAAGTTGTAGTCATATTTTGAGTTAATAGATGAAATATTTGTTGGGTTTTTAATTACTGTAGAAAATTTCAGACAATTTGGTCATTTTATTCTAAAAAATCAGCCTTTTGCATGCTTAATTAATGCCTTTACCTAATTTGCATATTGCTGACATATGCAAATTAGGCAAAGGCATTAATTAAGCAGGCAAATAGCTGATTCTTAGGAAAAATGTAATTTTGCGTGAATAGTTAAAGGGGCTTAAAACTAAACCAAATTGTCTGAAATTTTTGTACAGTAATTAAAAACCCGACAAATTTTCCATCTATTAACTCAAAATATGATTACAACTTTTAAATTTTGTGCGCGAGCCCTTTTTAATTTGTTGGAAAAGACACACTCCCTGGTTCGCAAAATTTGAGTTCGAGAAATTTTTTTCATTATTCTACATTATAAGTACCCAAAGAAGCTATATATATAAAAAACCCGGATACAAATAGGTGTTTTGCGAAATTGAGAGCAATTTCAAATCTGTTCAGTTTTTTTTATACACCCTGTATAATGACAATGTAGCCAATGTCCTTGGATATGAGTTGGATAACAAGATTTTTGTTGTGGAATGTCTTACTGGAAAGAACAAGGATCTATTTTATAAAGCATATCGGGTAAACAAGACAAGGGATACAAGTTTATTTGGACAACATCAGGAAATATCTTTATTAGAAATGCCTAGCCCGGTTGTTCGTTTGAAAGGTTTTCGAGTGAATCAAATAATGAATAACTATCAAATAAGGTAAGCACTATAGACTATAGATCTATATGTTTTATTGCCAGTCATGACTAGTTATAGCAAATGTACTAATAATCAAATTACTAGTCCTTCAGACATACCAAATTTTGTAGATTATAATCTATTACCTCATCCAGATATAAATTCAGCAACCACAAATATTTACCATTTAACTACCTCAGATATTGATTTGAATATGCCTAGTGCCATTAATTTTTATTATTATGACTCCCATGATTTCATAGCAATCAGCATATAGTGGATACTTTTCAGAGTTATGGTTCTTTTTCAGCTATCCATTGCAATGTTAGGAGTCTATCTGCAAATCATGACAGTCTAGTCAATATACTTTCTGAAATATATTTTCCATCCTCATTAATTGGCCTTTCAGAGCCTAAGCAGCAGATTAATAAAGATCCTACAGTACGGCCCTAATGAAAGTTCACCATTCTCGCTCAATGCTATCGAGGAAAATGTTTCAAGTACCAAGATCTTGAAATCCACTCGATAACAATTCTTGCTCGCTCGATAGGCTTGTCCTTACTCGATACACAAGAATTTTGCAAGAAGCGAGAAATCTCGATGCAAACAGTCACAAGAATTCCCGCAACGAGAAATCTCGATGCATCCATTCACGAGAATTCTCGCAGCACTATACTGCGTGTAAATTTTTCGCATACGTAAATAATCTGCAACTACTGGTAGAAGTCATCTGTTGTTTGCAATGTCAAAAGAAATGCAGTGGGACGAAATTTATACTATAAAAATTATATAGTAATCGGGCTATATAAAAATTATATAGTAATTAACTTGAAGAGTTACAACTGCATACCAACATGAGCAATACAGGGACAGAGGTTATTATAATTCTGTTGCCGATAACATACGTATATAATGTATAAATGTTATAATAATTTTATCTGGCATTATGGTGTATTTTGAGAGCTAAAATGAAAAATTAGCCCCCGGGGAACATATTTTAGCCCAATTCGAAATATTTTTCCATTTGCTTTGTTTACGATTTAAAAACCTTTTAAATTATTATAATAGTAATACACTTGATGTTCTTGGGCATAAATATGTTTTTGGCCCGACTCAGAACTCTAGTGTTATAATAATACGCCACATGTATACAATGTTTGCATCACTTCCAAGCAAAATAATACCGACAGAATTTGTTTTGGTCTTAAGTCAGTTATGATAATCGTTCATACAGACGTGAAAGGTTTACTGTTTGGAGATATTTCAAGGTATTCCAATGAAACAGTATGAAAACTACTGTAATGCATGCGTTTGTGTTTATACAACACCACTTAATATTTTTTAATTAGGCTATTATGGCTAACCAAAGTGATATCTAAAACAACGTTGCTTTGCAAGGCCATGCGAAAACACAGGGTAAACTGAAATTAACAATACAGAGTCAATTCTTGACTGATCTTTAAGGACAACATTAAAATCCAGAAAATCTGTGCGCAAAATAACGAACTGATCAAACTGTAACAAACTGTAGTGAATCCACAATCAATATTTTTAAATAAAGATGGAATACAATCTCGAAAAATAAGTATTATTTTACCTCCAAAAGATATCAGCTTCGCTTTCCATGTCTTTCCATTCAGCATCACTTGGACATCACTTCCTTTGACCGCGATGACTACTTCATTTGTACTCACTAACTTCTCACACGACACCACTAACAGTGTCTTATCGGCGTAAAAGTAAACTAAGTAAAACTTTGTCAAGTTTCTTTAACACATCGCATTCTTATTTCTATTTCTATAATATCTCTCAGAGCATGCTCACAGGCAGAGATCAAAACAGGAATGAGCGTAAGATGCTTCAGATCTCAGTATAAATCAGACAGCATGTTTTTCACTGACATCATCTGTAATGCTCTTTTGTTTTCGATAATCCATACGAGACAATAAGTTGTAGGTGGAGATCCTGTTATTGTGCTTGTAAAGATGGTGCATGAATACAGCTATCGGTTACTAAATGCAATCAACCGAAGCGAACTAACATTATTTAGCCTAAGGCTATAATTATATAGATTGCTTTTGGTGTGTATGAGTCACACCGTAAAATTTTGGAAATAGTCTTATTTTCTATTTCTGACTAACAATAACGAGTAGGTTGAGCCACTAATTCTAACAAAGTATATAATAGAAAGAGCGTGTTTTTTACTGACACTAACATGTAACACTTCGAATAAACAGACACTGATTTAACCAGTAAATTTTGCTTATCTTGAGGTTGTATAAAGGTGAGTAATGAAATAATATAACCGCTATCACCCTATCATAGTTATATTTTTAGCGAACTGGTAAATATGTCAAAATATGTGACATTTGCCATGCAAGGAAACAGCAATTATCCTATATTTCGCCACATGTTGGTCAAACTCTCGCTCGATTTCACACTATACAAACAATTTTCGAGAACCCTCACTCGATATCTAATTAAAGTCTTGGAGGACACTTGCTTAATAATTTTCGAAAACACTCGCTCGATATTAAAAATGTTCTCACAACTTGCAAATTTCTCGTTAGAGGTCAAATCTCCCTCGAACTCGCTCATTACATGATGTTAACTTTCATTAGGGCTGTACTGTATATCAAACAACAAACTCCACAATTTCTATTTGCAAACAAAATACTTCAAGTAAAACAAGAATACAACTATTTACGTCTTAATCTTACAACCAACAACAAATTTACCATGCAATGAAACCACTTGCTGATAAAGCAAAACATGCCCTGTATAGTACAAAGAAAAAAGTTGATTTTCACTCACTGAATCCAAAACTAGCAATCAAAATCTTTGACAACATTATCTTGCCAGGCGTGTGTGGGGG